TAATGAACTCCAACAAATGCTTACACAAGCCACTTCCTATCAAGACAGAACCTTTCCATTACTGCAGAAAGCCCCTTGTGCCCCTTTCCAGCCAATCTCCAGGGCCCCCCCTGCCAGAAATACACACTGATCTTATTCCCATCACCATAGGTTAGTTTTGACTATTCTAGAACTTCATATAAATGGAATCATCTCGTGTGTATCTCTTTGTGCATCTGGCTTCTCCCCCACAGCATAATGTCTTTGAGATTCATCCTTGTTTTCCTGAGAATCAGTGGTTCCTTCTTTTAATTGCCCAGTAATATTCTATTGTATGAATGTTTTGTTTCTTCATTCCTTGCAGTCATTCTTGCCTGGCTTCTGTCTCCCATACCCGAGACCTGCTCCATTGGCAGTTCCTCTGTCTCAGTCTTCAAACACAGCCTGAGTCTGACCAGTTCTCCCACATGCACTGCTACCCAACTCATTCAAGCCACCAGCACCTCTTTCCCAACTAGCCTTCCTCCTTCCCTGCTTGCCTGCCTTTAGTATATTTTCTATACAGCAGCCAGAATGATTATTTTAAACAATACATTTGATCATTCCATTGACTTTTAATAAAGAATAAAACGTTTTAATAAAAAATAAAATTCAAACTCTAAGGCCCTTTAGGATCTGGTTCCTGGCTTTTCTAATATCATCTCCTACCCATCTCTCTCTTGCACATTGAACTTTAGTTATGCCAGTTCTTTATTTATATCTTTGTCTTCTAACTTAAATTGATTTTATTCAACTCTTAATTTATTCTCACCTGGGATACTTAAAATGCACATTGAAACCTTTAGCCATTGAAGAGCTTATTCTGGACCTGACATCTAGTCTTTAAATTTGTCAAACTCATAGACATTTTCCTGCCTGAGGCCCTTCACATGTGCCGACATGCCAACAGTCTTTGCATCACTGGCCTTTTCTTCTCATTATTCAGGCCTCAGCTGCAAAGACCCTCTGCACAGAGAAGCTCTTCCTGACCAGTCTTATTTAAAGCGAGCCCCATATCTGCCTGCTATTCTTATCACCGTACCTGACTTTCATAACACTTAACACTATATATATATATATATATATATATATATATATATATGTTTGTATAATTATATAAATACTTATATATGGTGATTACTTGTTTACATTGCCTTCTGTACTAGAATGTAAGCTCCATGAAATCTGTTTGACCAAACCTTTTTGATTTATTCCTATGGACCCAATGCCATGCACACACAGAGTAGTCCCTGAGTGATTGAATAAATGAATCTCATTTTCCTTTCCACATGATCATTATAGAGATGGAAGCATCATTGCTGGGTATGAAGTTGTTGGCTCCAGCAGCACATCTGAGCTGCTGTTCGCCATTAAACAGGTGGCTGAAAAGGCTAAGGCAAGCCTTCGCAAGCTGTTTCCACTAGAAGATGACTCGTTCAGAATATTCGGAGAAGGTAATATTGGCTTCCCTGTCCTCTGCTTAGGATGGGGAAGTCCTTTCATTAGTAGCTCATTCGTGTCTTCAGGAGGTAGATTGGAGATGTCTCTGATACAGAATTATTCTAACACTGACTTTCAGTAGAAACAGGCAGCTGTTTATGATGAAACTCAAGTTTAGTTGACTAGTTTAGATCCTGACTAATCGGTGACCTGATCTCCTCTATAAATATTGTGCAAGACTGATTTCGCTGCAGGCTGTGATTGAAATGATTCAGCAATGGGTTACTGGTGCACATGTTGAAATGGGGCTGACAATATCCTTAAGTCATAATCCAAGGAACCAAGACAAGAATGCACATATCTGGGTCTTTAACACACACACACACACACACACACACACATACACACACCTTCTTTTCTTCAGGTATTTTTTCCCTTTTACTTCTTTACATTCAATCTTAAACCTCTCCTATCAAAATTTGTGCCACTTTCAACAACACTTACTCAACAAATATTTACTAAGTGTTTAAAGTGTCCAGGCCCTTAGGACACAACAATGGGGAACACAAACAAAAACACACAGCTCTTGTGGGTCTTTCATTCAAGGTCCCCTTCTCCCCGTCCCAATCATGGTAAGACTATCATGTTAAGGGCCAGCTGCAAGAGTAACTAGTGGCTGGTCACAATGTGAGAAGCTTTTAAAGGGGTACAAAGTAGGGTATGTCACCCACAAATGGCAACTGCCCATCTTTTGACCATATCATTACTGCTTTGTTCCATAGTGTCTTGAAGATTTCCTGGTTTCTAGAATTCCCTTGAAGATTGAAAATATTTCACCTCACACTTACTAGTTGATAGCCCACGAAAAGCAAGATTGTTGGCACAGATCAGACAGCTGGGTAGCAGGGCCAGCCTCAGGGAGGGTAGGGCTTCAAGAAGGAGAAAAGGGGTGCTGACAGGGAGGAAGCTGGGCATCAGAGACAAACTCCTCCTAGTTGTGAATTTTGCCTGAGAATTTTGCCTCTGACAGTATGATTTCAAAAGCACTGTTCTGTGGTTTATATAGAGTGCCAGGATATTCAGAGATGTTTTCCCTCTCTGTTTCCTTTCTTTTCCAGTCCAGTGTAACAGCATTATCTTTGGATTTGGGTTTAAGAATGATGAGTACACTCTTCCCTGTAGCAGAGGTTATACTGGAAACATCACAGCCAAGTGCCAGCCCTCAGGGTGGCAGGTCATCAGGGAGACATGTGTGCTCTCTCAGCTGGAAGAACTGAAGGAGGTAAAGCATTTCCACCTTGCAGACTTGCCCTGATTGTGAGTTTCACAGTGGGCATTTCCCAGTGAGCATGGCTAAGTGAAGGGTAAAACATCAATTTGTCTCACTAGTAAGTATGAAGAATATGAGGGTGACATTAGACTGTGCTAAACTCAGGGAAGGTGGGCATAAGTAGCCGAGTCTAGGTGGCAGCTGAGAAGGTCAGAAAATGTCAGAGCAGATGGTTTTGGTAGGGGAGGGGTGCTGCAGAGGAGTGAATCGATGCTGAGAAGGTCTATGATAGACGGTAAAACAATGACTAAGCTAGCCTCAGAAGTCCAGAAAGCCTGGGAATCAGAGATCCAAATGAAGGTGTGAGTCAGAAACAACAGACTTATTACAAGTAGAATGTACGTATGTCAGAGACTAGGGCAGGAAGTGAATCAGCTAGAGGTGAACCGTATAGAAAGATAGAATTGCAATCAATCTTAAGGGTCATCTGGTTTACCAAATTCCTTTTATAGATTGGGAAATGAAAGACTAAGAGGCTAACAGTCGGTCCCTCTGGTAGTAATAATGTTGAACTAGAAATATGATCATTTGATTCCCAGCTTAGGGAAGTGACCTCCACATGAGGCTTTCTTTGGAAGGTTCAAGTGTTTAAGGCAGATGCGTGGAAGCAAATGGTGAGGAATTAGAACTCAAGGCATAAGAAATTGGGACTCCTATTTCTCCAAATAGATCTCCATTGAGTCAACGTCTGTCCCAGCCAGAGACTCTGCTATTGCAGTAGGAACCTCAGAANAAAAAATTTTAACAGGGACAATGTTGAAACTCAATGCCTAGATGGGGATCTATTTCAGTGTTAAGTGACTACCCTTTAAAACCACATATGAGTGGCCACACATTTACCTACTTATAAGGTTGTCTTGATTACCATCCCATTATGTTCCACATCCACAATTGAATATTCTAGTTGCATGCTTCCTATATTTTTTTAGGTGAACATTCATTATAAAAATAAATTGAAATACTGCTGTTGAATAGATGGGCTCCAAATTGTACTTTTGTAATTTTATGCTGCAATAAAATCTGGTGAGTGATTTTTTAAGTGTTTGTTTTAAATATTGTTTTATTTCCCATAGAGGTTTGGGGTACTTTTAAAATTAATGAAAGATTTACAGAAGACCTTTGGAATTCATCTTCTGCTAAATACTCCAAATATACCACTGGAATTGAAATTCAAGTAAGTACCTTCTATTTACTACATAAGAAATTTTTGGCTAAACGTAAGTTCAGATGTTTTTAATTTAACATATTGATTTAACACATATTTTTAATTATTCATTTTCAGTGGGTTATTCCATAGTAGTTAATCACTCTGCTCACAACTGATGTACTTTGAACATTTTCTTTCTAGGAGAATTTAGCAGTTGAATCCTTTTCATTTTTTTTTGTTCAGTTTTGCTCACTTACTTGAGTAATATTATGTGAAGCCCTCTTGATTATGTCCCGTTTTCTATTTGTCAAAAGAAATTTTTTATGATCTAAGCTCAATTATCAGCATCTGGAATTTGTTCCATAAAGAAGCCTCTCTTGGGCCTTGGTTAAGAGCTTGCTTAAGAATTTGAGCTCTGAGCAACAGCGGTTCGAGTCCTGGCCAGAGCTGAGCAGCTGCTGAGCTGCCAAGGTGGCAGGATGGCTCAGCTAAAAAAAAAAAAAAAGAAGCCTCTCTTATTAGAAGCTAAAGAGAATTACTGAGCAAGATTCTGGACTTCATAATGAAATCACATAAAACTAGATCAGTGCACCTCTGCCTAGGATGATAGTTCATGTGTGGTTCTAAATGAAGACATGCACAAATACTTTGCAGATAGATTCAGTTTAAGTATCTGTAAAAATTAATGGCTTATTTTTGAAAAGGAGAAAACAGAGTTTAGGTAAATTTATTATATTACCTGGTACCCAATTCATCCTCTAGTCTATGCAGTTGTTTCTTTATTCTTTATTAACAGCCTCAAAAATGAAGTGTGTGTGTGTGTGTGTGTGTGTGTGTGTGTGTGTACATTCTCAATTGTCATTTTAACTGTATTTCTATAATGTGCAACTACCTCATGCTGTGTCTTTTTCTTTGTTCAGTGTTTCTGTTGGTTTATTTATTGTCTGCATCCATTTTTTTGCTCATATGTCTTTCTTGTATGGGGACAAAGATCAACATATTGCCCTGGTTTTTGTTTGTTTGTTTGTTTGTTTTCTTATAAGCTTAAAGAAGCATACAAAAGAATTCAAGGTTTTGAGTCAGTTCGTGTCACCCAATTTCGGTAAGTAACACAAAGCTCTTAGAAGGGCATCCCCAGGTTTGGCCCTCCATCCTACAGAATGCTTAGTGCTGTTGTCAAGTGTCTTTGACAGGAAATAGGTCAGAACTGGTCTTTGTAGTAAGATTCTTGATAAAACTGGACAAAAGTCTGTAATGCTTTAAAAACTCTGACGAGGAAAGCCTTTATTCTCATTTAAATGAATTTTGGAACTTAAATATTGAACGGCATTCTCGAAGCTACGGAGAGGCTAGACTTGGAACCCCCCCAGAAGTGGGACATAACTTAGAAGGAAGCAGGAGATACTGGTATGCACGTATGGGAAGGGAAGATGAGTGGGGGTGAGGGTGTGGGCTATAGAGGAACGAATTTTCTTCTTCCATAACCATAGTGGGGTATCACGTTGTATAATTGGGAGCCAGAAGGGAGGCCTTGGGAGGGTTTGGGTAAATATTATACTTTTGTGTAGATACCATGTATGCACCATAATTCAAAAACCTGTAGTCATTGTCTACAGCAAATAAAGTGGTATTTAGTAAATCAGCCTTTTGTTTATACTTTAATTCCAAAAGTTATTTGGTTAGCTAGCCATGTGTGCATTGATTACCAACTATTTATAGTTGGCTTGATAGAGGAAGTGGCTTAGAGGTCAGAGACTTGACTTCTTATATAGTTTTTCACAGTTAACTTGAACAGCAGCTATAGGAAATTTTCAACAGCATTTGATATAAATATATTGTCCTGGACATTATTCTGTAGTCATCTCATGTCCTTATATTGTCTTTATAATCAAGGCCCACATCTATAAGTTTTTAAAAAATTCAACGCTAGGAAAAACACCACTTGTTTTTTATTCTTATATCAATGTCTATATAATTAATCATTTTTCTCTTTTTGACTTTGCTGTCATTGAATTCAGACAAAATTGAAATTCAATCACAATAATTTTTGTATTCAATATTCATATTTTTCTTTTCCATGGTCTTGGTTTTCTATTTATATTTCTAATGTATATTCCATGGTGTACATATATAAGCTATCTTCAATAATTTGTAGACGAAATCACAGTTAAGGTAGGCATAAGTCTATAAATTACAACTATGTAGGTTTTACTTTTTACGTATATGATTTAAAGTAAATCCTAATCTCTCACTGTCTCAGTTTACTTATCTGTTAAACAGGACTGTTAATACTTGTGGAACCTGATTTAAACCCATGAAATCAAATGAAATAATAGGTAGAAAAACACTTTTCAAAAAATACAAAAGGGCCATAGCGACACAAAGACATAAAAGGGTATTTGGATTTGTTTATATATTGTGCGTGGTAATTCAATGTGGTGATCAAGAATTTGAGCTGTGGAGCGTCAGAGTTATTCTAATCCATCCATCAGTCATTTCCTGACCCAACTTCTCTTTGGGACTCAGGCCTCTTATCTACAAATTGGGATAATACAGTGTTTGCCTCATGGAGCTATTGCAGAATTAATTCATACATGTAATCTCACTCGCTTTCATGGTGTTAAACACTACCTAATGGTTTCTAAGCGTATTGGGTCGTCGGGAAAGTCATGACGCATTTTTGCATTGAAAAACATAAAAAAAGTACGTCGTGGCTTTCCCGACGACCCAATATTACTCGTGCTTGGCTTCTCTCCTAAACTTCAGACCCAAATATCCAGCTGCCTATTAACGTCTCCACTTGATTTTCTAGTAGGCGTGT